AGTCCCTCGCCCACCTTGTATATCAAAAGTCTCCTTTTTTATATGGGTCTCAATTGCTAGCAGACATCTCATGTTAGTTATAAATCCTGTTTCTTGACTCCTATAGTTTTTTTTTATGAATCGTATGTATATATAGTCAGGGGACCAGATTTCATTGTTTTCGTAGGTAACCTTGTACTGGGGACAAGATATCATTGTTAATGTTCAAATAAGTACCTTCTATCCTTGTTGGACCATATATCATTGTACTGCTAGGTTTCCTCGTACTCTCAGGGGACCAGATATCATTGTACTGCTAGGCTTCCTCGTACTCTCAGGGGCCCAGTTATCATTGTACTGCTAGATGTCCCCGTAATCTGAGAGGCTCAGATATCATTGTACTGCTAGGTTTCCTTGTACTCTCAGAGGCCCAGATATGTTTGTACTGCTAGGTTTCCTCATAATCTCAGGGGACCAGATATCTTTGTACTGCGAGGTTTGCTCGGACTCTCAGGCGACCACATTGCATTGTTCTCCTAGTATAGGTTTCCTCCTACCCTCACAGGACCAGATATTGTTGTTAACATAGGTTTCTTTACACCCTCAGCAGACCAGTTTTCATTCTGTAAGGTTGTGGTGTTCACCCAGGACACCAGTTTTCAGTTTTCTTTCTGTTAAGTTGTGTGGTTCACCCATGACACCAATTTTCATTCTGTTAAGTTCCCTCATACTCTAAGGACACCAGACCAAATTATTATGTAAGGTTCCTTTGCACCCTCAGGGAACCATGGCCACATTTTATTATTATGTTAGGTTACCTTATCTTGTACTCTTAGGATACCAGATTTCATTCTGTTAGTATAAACTAAGGTGATGTTGTATGATTTCCACTGGCATGACTGAGACAACTAACCAACAGAGTCCCAATGATTAGGATTTCACCATTTATAGCTCACTAGCATTCAACTTTTAAAGACCATAGATTAGAAACAGATGCAAACCATCCAAATATGCCAACTTGGTCTTTGTCATGATTGTTTTGTCTTGTGATGTTGAAAAATTCAGCCTTAAAGGCATTCCTCAGTTTTCAGAGTCATTGATAATTCAACATCCAGTAAAAGTTTATTTCACTTTAAAATCTGAAAAAGAGATAACTTAGTTTTATAGATCCACTCATTTGACTGGGTGAATAACATATTGGGTTAAATGTGCCATCTAATGTGCCATCTAATGTGCAGAGCAAAGCAGTCTTTTCTACTTCTGTATTCTATAAGGTAAAGAAAATCTGTTCATCCACATTCGCATTGACAGTTGCATGAGTACTTAGTTCTAAAATATTGTTTAACCGTTCTACATCATGTACAGTAGTGCATGAATGAATGAAATGATCTATTGTTTCTGAGTCTTATTGCATAGGAGACAGATTGGATTGACCTTATTTTACCTTCTATAGTAAAGAGTTCTATTACTTTTGTTTAATTTCAATTGGATTATCCAGTTGTATGCTGCATCATTTATTGCTGTGTCCATTTTGTCACCTACTGTACTAAATTGAAATGGAATTTGTGGGGTCAGATTCACAGATTAAGTGGTTCTTATTTACTTGTCTGCATATTGTTTTTATTGTGTAAATATTCAACACAAACAAACAGAAGGAAATCCCTTCACTATCATTGCTATGTATATTAAAACTAAGTATGTTATCAAATGTAAAATTGGTTGAAAACCATTAAATAATCAATTTCATTCTCAATTGCAGGTCAATATATGTAAATCTGCAATTAAAAAGAAAACTTCCATACCTCTGATTTCTGAATTAAGATGGAATTTTCAGTAAATCAATTATTGGAAATCTTCCATCATTTTACAACAGCCATTATCAATGTAGAAAAATTACAAGACTTTTGTGCCAAATGTTCTCCATCATTGGTTCCAGCTGAGGAGTTTATTTTAGTTTGTAAATTGTTTATTATGTCAATTAAGACAAATTAATAGAGCTTTTACTATGTTTGTGGTGATTAGTCCTTGTTAGGCAGAAAATTCAATTAGAAAAGTTATAATTAGTTTACTCTGTGTTAATTCTCTAAAATTTCCAGTTTTATTATTTCTTTGTTCCAAACATAACAAAGTTAAAAAATAATTTGAATTCCTTACATATATTATATATAAACTATTTGTTCGTTACAGTGCATAGATTTTCTTAATTTGTTCTTAGAGTTCTCTAAAATAATAAGTTAATATCTTAGAATTGTTTTTGTTAGATTAAAGAATATATGGGCACAGGCACTTGTCTCAGAATTTTTTTTCCCTATATACCTTAATATAACACTTAAGGTATATAGGGAAAAAAAATTCTGAGACAAGTGCCTGTGGATATGGGGTATAGGTCTATAATGCTCAAATCAACAACAAGAATAGCCAATTGATTAGTAATACATATTATTGCCTAGTGCCTCCTGGAAAATGGATTACTGGGGGGTGGGGTGGGGGTTGGGTTGTGTTACGTTTTGAGGATGTGTTTTTCAACAAACAATCAGCATACCGATGGGCACCAACTGTGCTCCTCTTGCTTACTTGATCCTTTATTCATTTGAGGCAGACTACATACAGGAGGATCTTAGGAAGAATAAATAGATGCTAGCATATTTAACTTCACTTTCTGCCCTATAAATGATGTCCTATCATTAAATAAAATAATATAAAGTTTGGTTACTATATTGAAAGCATCTATCCAACCAAACTTGACATTAAATATACAACAGATACAGTTAAGTCTACCTCATATCTTGACTTAGATTTAGAAATTGACATTGAGGGTTGGTTGAGATCAAAACTTTATGAGAAAAGAGCTTCTGAATTTGAACTTTTCATTTCTAATGTAGCAACATTCCAGGAGTGCCTGTATATGGAGTATATATCTTCCAGTTGATGGGATATTCCAGAGCTTGCATTTCCTATCATGATTTCCTTAATAGATGGTTGCTGCTTACATGGAAGCTGTTAAACCAAAGGTTCCAAGTGATGAAGTTGAAGTCATCTGTTTACAGTCACCTTCACAAGTCTGTTAACTGTTATAGAATATCTGTTTCACAGATGAAGATGGATGTGTTTAATTGTAGTAAACGCAATTCTGTCCTGTTTTCTTCGAATGTGGAATCACAGAGTTTGTAAAAGTTTACATATTAAAGCAACATGACGGGTGCCATATATGATGCAGGATCTGCTTACCCTTCGAGAACATCTGAGAACACCACTGGTTTTTGTTGGGGAAAGAGTTTTAAGTTTTCTTCTTTCTGTTTTGTATATACTGTTGTTTGTCTTTCTGTTGTTTTTCATTTTTGCCATATCGACTTGTCAGTTTGTAATCCTCTTATGAGTTGGAATATCCCTTTAGTATCTTCTGCCTCTCTTAAAGTAACAAGGTTACAGTAAAACCTCAAGCCTTGGAATATCTCCAAAGATAGCTCTTTAATATGATCAGAGTTAATATACCAGTCCAAGATTTGTGCAGATAGATTATCAAGTTTTCTGCGCTTTGGTATCATAGAATATCAGATGTGAGCCACAATGTTAATCTTTTTGGCAAGTGAGTGCAGCCAAAAGGCAAAAAACTTGATTATTGTTAATATAGTAGTCCAAGATTAGTACAGTATAACCTGTACCTCTAGCCTTAGATTATCTCCAAAGACAGCTCTTTATTTCAGATTTTTTGTTTGTATTGGCTGAGTCTCCAAAAAGGTCTTGCTATTTGAAACTTTAATAAACTAATTGTTGTTTTACAATGGTCACAACTTGTGCAAACATTTAACTAAATCTCTCATACTTAAATCAAATATTTTAACAACCAAATATTTTATCTTTAAAGAAAAGCTTTAAACCCATGAGGTGAAATAAAGCGGTATATATTGTCCCTTTGATATAATTAGAATGTTTATTATAACCAGTAATAACAGTGATTTATCAATATTGTTACATATAGTCTACCAATACAAATAGTGTAGAAAACTTGACTGTATTCTAGTAGCTATAGTAAACATAATAATATATACAAGTACCTCAATATACTGACTTAAATATCTTAGTAAATAAATAAAGCCAGGGTTGTGTCAACAATCAGTCTATAAGATATTATGCAAAATATAAAAAGAAACTCAAATAAGGCAAACAAAAGTAGTTAGTTAGAAATTGCTTTCTGATGTTTCACTTAACATTTCCTTGTCAGTTCCTTCTCATAGGCTTCAGAAGATTGAGATACTACAAATTTGATTTAACATATGTGAATCAGTATAAAATTGTTTTGGGGAGATTGTTTAAACATATATGAAAGTAAGAACCTGTTTTGGCAGTGGCGGATCCAGGGGGGGGGGGGGGGGTTCTGGGGTTGGAACCCCCTTTTTTTTTGGACGATCAATGCATTTGAATGGGGACATATGGTTGGAACCCCCCCCCCCCCCCCTTTATCCTGGGTTGGGAACCCCCCTTTTGAAAATGACAGGATCCGCCCCTGTTTGGGGAGATTCGATTTAACATATGTGAATCAGTGTCAACCTGTTTTGGGGAGATTGTTTAAACATATATGAATCAGTATGAACCTATTTTGGGGAGATTTGATTTAACATATATGAATCAGTATGAGCCTGTTTTGGTATGATTTGATTTAACATATATGAATCAGTATGAGCCTGTTGTGGGGAGATTTGATTTAACATATATGAATCAGTATGAACCTGTTGTGAGGAGATTTGATTTAACATATATACCTGTTGTTTGTGATTCAGTATGAAGCATATAATTTGTGAATCAGAATGATATATAAAAATAAGGCGATGTGGTATGATTTCCAATGAAACAGCTATCCATCAATGACCAAATGATGTAACTATAACAGCTATCCATCAAAGACCAAATGATGTAGCTATAAGCACTTATTATATGAAGCTGTATGATCAGACTTGATCAAGCATATATGTATTAGTATGATTCTTGAATCGGTAGGTTGCATTTTTGCTGTCTCCTTTCAGTTTTTGCTGTGCAAGAATTTACTGTTACCCCACAAGATAAAAGAGTTGTTCAGGGAACCAGTGTTACATTTGAATGTAAAGTGAAAAACCAAGTTGGAAGAATTCAGTGGATATTTAATGGAGAACCTTTAGGTAAATATTACAGCAATCTAATATAGTTGTTCCTATTACAAGATTGTTAATGTACAGTCTGACAGAGCTCAGACATAAACAAGTCTCTTTTTGTTTCTGACTTATTCAAGTCAATCATGTATTTTGATAAAAATGTGTTTACAATTTTGGACTTGTCTGAGTCGGACTCATATCTGATATAACATGGATTTGAGTATTTAGAATAGGTTAATGTATCCCTAAATATATATTCTGGCCCAGATAATATAATTAAACTATCATAAAGAGAACAATCTTGTTTCCAAATCATGTGCATGTATTTTAATAATCAAATAAAGTATAATTTACAACATAATATATTATAAATTTGAAAATGGTAAATGTTTGATTTATAATTGAAGTCAGAAAGTTTTGTAAAAAGACATTTAATCCAACATGTCAGCAATAGGTTTACCCTCAGGGGAAGTGTTCTCTTAGTTCAGCAGCTTCATCATGTTCATAATCAGGCTTTCTCTCCATGATGATAATCAATGATAATGTAACAATGCTGAAAGGAATGAAGGAATGAAAGTATATAGGATTAATTAAGCACCTGTCTTAACTCTGTTTTTGGAATTCTAATTGCATTTTCCTATTTGTCATGAATTTAGTCTGAATAACAAATGCATTTTTTTAAGTGGGCAATAATACTGTTTAAATTTATGATAATGAATCAGTAGCTTGTAAGTTCACCCACCCCTGTACCATACCAACTATTTATCTTCTAGTAGGTTGAAAGTACACCCACCCCCTGTACCATACCCGCTATTTATCTTCTAGTAGGTTGTAAGTACACCCATCCCCTGTACCATACCCACTACTTATCCACTTGATTAAAAAACAACCTGAAATATTTCCAGTCCCCTGCATCATATAAATTTTACCCTCACTGATCCTGTTCCCAGTGAATCCTTGAGTCATAAAACATTGGCTATATAACTTTTAATAGGTAAGTGAAGTCATTTAATGATCTGACGGGGCAAAATATGTATGATTTTTGTGTCTCATGTCGATTAAATCATTAATGGACTTCTAATAATAAAGTACTTCAATTTATGAAGATTTTGAGATTTAAATTGAAATAAAAGTAACCATTATAACACCTACCTTTTTACTTACATATGGTTTATAATCATTACAGTGTGACTGGGTTACTGTAGTTACCAGTCTAAACATTTGATTTATATGGTTGGATGCAGTAGAACATGTTCAATCCTTACAACTTTCTTGTTATGTGACTGGGTTACTGTAGTAACCAGTCTAACCATGTGATTTTATATTTGGTTGGATGCAGTAGAACATGTTCAATCCTTACAACTTTCTAGTGAGAAGATTTCTCATGAATGTACTTTTTCATCATATAACTAAGATTACATATGCCATGGGGAAATTCAATTTGTCAGGCAATGTATGAAAACAACACTTATATATATACACTTTGTTTATATCTACCTTATAGTTCTACCATTAAAGACATTGTAGTTATTATGGAACCTTTAGAGTAAATCCAAGATTACACAACTACTGTCTTATAAAACCTTACATCAGGTATCTACAATAAAGTCACTAATAATCTCATATATTACCTGTCTGCACCAAAATCTTTTCCAACTACTAGTCCGAAGACCAATATTCCAACAATTTACTTATGTGTCTAAACAAATATTTGCAAATCCTTACTAGTCCCAATAACATTTTACAAGTCTGGACCATCAGACTAGTGGCTAAAGGTGCAGACTGTATTACATAGTATATATCATCAATACTCTCAGATTTTGTTTTTCATCTATAAATTTATAATTTCATTGAAAAATTATTGTGATGTAATTTCTTAGATGTTTAACTCTTCAAATGCAGAATAACTCCTGACATCCATTAGTGTAAGTTAAAATATTAATTTGATGTTTTAATATTGAGTGTCATTATTAATTTTAAAAATGTTAAAGAAAATATCATATCTGTAAATATAACTTTTAAATATATGTGTTAAACTTAAAAAAACCAAAAATTTTGAAAATTGGTTTATTTCTGTTTTTATCATGTTTATTTGTCCACATCAGGACATATAAGTAACAAGAGAAATATAGAATGGCACATAAGTACCAAGACAAAAATAGAATGACACATACGTAACTAGACAAAAATAGAGTGACACATACGTAACTGGACAAAAATAGAGTGACACATAAGTAACTAGACAAAAATAGAGTGACACATAAGTAACTATACAAAATTAGTATAACAAATAAGTAACTAGACCAAAATAGAATGACACATAAGTAACAAGAGAATAAAATGACACACAATTAATTAGAGAAATATAAAATGACACATAAATAAGTAGACAAAAATAGATTGACATATAAGTAACAAGAGAAAAATAGAATGACACACAAGTAACAAGACAATAATAGAATGACACATAAGTAACTAGACAATAAAAGAATGACACATAAGTAACAAGACAATAATAGAATGACACACAAGTAACTAGACAATAATAGAATGACACATAAGTAACAAGACAATAATGGAATGACACACAACTAAGTAGACAATAATAGAATGACACACAAGTAACTAGACAATAATAGAATGACACACAAGTAACTAGACAATAATAGAATAACAAATAAGTAACTAGACAAAAACAGAATGACACATAAGTAACAAGAGAATAAAATGACACATAATTAACTGGGAGAAATATAAAATGACACATAAATAAGTAAACAAAAATAGATTGACATATAAGTAACAAGAGAAAAATAGAATGACACACAAGTAACTAGACAATAATAGAATGACACATGAGTTACAAGACAATAATAGAATGACACATAAGTAACAAGACAATAATAGAATGACACATAAGTAACTAGACAATAATAGAATGACACACAAGTAACTAGACAATAATAGAATGACACACAAGTAACAAGACAATAATAGAATGACACGTAAGTAACTAGACGAAAAAAGAATGACACATGAGTAACAAGAGAAAAATAAAATGACACACAAGTAACTAGACAAAAATATTTGACACATAAATAACACCAAATCAAACCATTCAGAATCATTTAGAGGGACACTTAAAAATAAATAAGTTAAAATTATAAACCTATTAATACTTTATTACATTGATTGCAGTGAATTACAGTGATTTCTGAGTCAAATAAAAACTGATATTTCACATGTGCAAAAAATTAAAGCTATAATAAATCCTGTATTTACACTCTTCTAAGTTCAAATGTCAGGCAGCATTAGGTGTTGTTATAAGAAGAATAACTGATCCAAGTATTCAAATATTGAAAAATATTCAACAAGTGACCTAACAAGACTTTAATTCACAAATATGCATAGTGTAGAAGTGTTGTTCTTTTTTTAACAATTCTTTTTTACCTCACCGGGCCTAAAGGGCCCCATGTGAACTTATATCTCAAAAACTAAATCATTTAGATCAAATCTGGCAAGGGTAAAAATGTTCAATAGGTCAAGATCTATCAGCTCTGAAATTTTCAGACGAACCGAACAACTCATTGTTGGGTTGCTGCGACTAAATTGGTAATTTTAAGGAAATTTTGCAGTTTTGGTTATTACCTTGAATATTATTATAGATAGAGATAAACTGTAAACAGCAACAATGTTCAGAAAGTAAGATCTACAAAAAAGTTAATATGACCAAAATTGTAAATTGACCCCTTAAGGAGTTATTGCCCTTCAAAGACAATTTTAAACAATTTGTTCATCATGTTTGCTAACATTTAAAAATCTTCTCTTCTGAAACTACTGGGCCTAATACTTCCAAACTTTAACTGAATGTTCCTTAAGGTATTTAGTTTGTAAATTGTATCCGAAGTTTTGATCCATCAACAAACATGGCCACGATGGCTAAAAATAGAACATTGGGGACAAAAGCAGTTTTTGGCCTAAATCTCAAAAACTACAGCAGTTAGAGCAAAAGTGAAAGGGAGTTAAAGTGATAAATTGGTCATGATCTATCTGTTATGAAATTTTCAGACAACTTCGACAACCCATTATTGGGTTAATGTTGGAAATAGTTTATTTTTTATTAAATTTTACTTTTTTTGGTTATTTTCTTTAATATTATAATAGATAGAGAGAAAGTGTAAATAGCAATAAATGTTCAGCTAAGTAAGATCTACAAATAAGTCAACATGATCAAAACAGTCAATTGACCCCTTAAGGAGTTATTGCCCTTAAAACGTTTTTTTTTACATTTTTTACATTTTTTGTGAAAGTCTAATTACTTTTTCAAAAATCTTATTCTCTGAAACTACTTGGCCAAATACTTTAAAACTTTAATCGAATGTTCCTTAGGGTATCTAGTTTATAGATTGTATTCATGGATTTGATCCATTCAAAAACATGGCGGCAGTTTCTAAAAATAGAACATAGGGATCAATAGAAGTTTTTGGCTTTCATCTCAAAAACTAAAGCAGTAAGAGCAAAACTGACATAGGTTAAAGTGTTAAACAGGTTTAGATCTACCTGTCAAGTAATCTTCAGACCAATAGGACAATTTACTGTCCAGAAATTGTTTTTAGGAAATTTTACAGTTTTGGGTTACGTATTATCTTTAATATTATTATAGAAAGAGAGAAAGTGTAAATGACAAAATTGTTCAGCAAAGTAAGATCTGCAAATAAGTCAAATGCCTGAAGCTGAAATAACGGGTGAGCGATATCAGGCTCTCATGGGCCTCTTGTTTAATAAATTATTATATGCATTCTTCATTGACTAGAGATTTGTTTATTTCTTAGTAAAGTGTGTGTAAAAGTTATTCGGATGTGGTTGATCCTCCAGTAAAGTTATAAATATATTGAACCATACTTTGTATTCAGATGTTCTTAGTAAAGTGTGTGTAAAAGTTATTCAGATGTGGTTGATCCTCCAGTAAAGTTATAAATATATTGAACCATACTTTGTATTCAGATGTGGTTGATCCTCCAGTAAAG